CTTGACAGATGCAGCTGTCTTTCTGCATAGGTCAACAGCAAGCTAGACTATTAATGGTTAGGTGCTTACTCCGACCTGGACTGACTTTGAACTTATGACCTCTCGGTCAGTAGTGATTTAATGCAGTTGGCTACTAATTCACTGTGCCACAGCCCGGTCTTGTTCCTAACAGCCTCAGGCCCTTTCCTTTCCTCCCTCAGCCGCTTAGGTGATAGTATGATAGCTGGGTCCGGAAGCTCTGAGCGTTAAGCGCATTCCACAACAACGCTTGTGAATAAGGGACCACATGAGGGCAGAAGGATAGAAAGGAGGGGAGGGTTAAGATAAGAATTAAGGTAAGGTTTAGGGTTAGGGTAAAGTTTAGGGTAAGGTTATGGTAAGCTTTAGGGTTTGCATTAGAGTTAGCCTTAGGGTTTTACCATTAAAGAACTCGGTAACAGTATGAAAACTGGATCCATAAGGCCTGTTTGTGCAACACAGAACAGAACACAGATATTATAGAACGTAAAACTAGATCTATGAGTAGCGAACGCTGACCATGTAAGAGGAGAAATTGGGTTTGTATTTGGTTTTATTGATTTTATTGATTTATGATTATAATGTATATTTGTTGTTAACTGTGTATTGATGTAATTCTGTGTTTGATTGTTTTTATGATGCAGGCATCAAATTGTGCCTTTGCTTTTGTAAGCCGCCCTGAGTCCCCTTCGGGGTGAGAAGGGCGGGGTAAAAGAACCCCAAATAAATAAATAAATAAATAAATAAATGTAAGAATTCTTTAATGGTAAAATCCTAAGCCTTGCCCAGACCCTAAGCCTTCTTGTTGTTGTTCATTCGTTCAGTCACTTCTGACTCTTTGTGACCTCATGGACCAGCCCACGCCAGAGATCCTTGTTGGCCGTCACCACCCCCAGCTCCTTCAAGTTCAAGTCAGTCACTTCAAGGATGCCATCCATCCATCTTGCCCTTGGTCAGCCCCTCTTCCTTTTTCCTTCCTTTTCCCCCAGCATAATTGTCTTCTCTAAGCTTTCCTCTCTTCTCATTATTTCGCCAAAATACTTCATCTTTGCCTATAATATCCTTCCCTCCAATGAGCAGTTGGGCTTTATTTCCTGAAGTATGGACTGGTATGGACTGAAGTAGGGTAAGGACCCTAAACCTTACCTTAACCCTAATCCTAATCCTAACCCTAACCCTAAACCTAACCCCTAAACCTAATTCTAACCTTATTCCTAACCTAACCCAAACCCTAATCCTAACTCAAACCCTAAACCTTACCCTAAACCTAACCCCTAAGCCTAATTGTAACCCTAATCCTAACCCTTACCCTACCCCTAACCCTCCCCTCCTTTCTATCCTTCCACCAAATTGAAATATATTCCCACCCTCAGTGTGCTGCTCTCCTCTTCCCTTATTCACAACCACAGTTGCGGAATGTGTGTAACACTGGGAGCTTCTGGACCCAGCTATCATACTATCACCGAAAGATGCTCCTGATGGCTCCTTTTGGCCACCTGAGGAGCAGTGAAGAGAGATTTAGGTGATAGTATGATAGCTGGGCCTGGAAGCTCTGAGTGTTAAGGAGATGCCACAAAGGCAGCTGTGAATAAGGAAAGAGAGGGGGGGAGTGAGAGCGGGAGAAAAGGAAGGATAAAAAAGAGGGGACGCTTAGGGTAAGGGTTAGGACAAGGTTTAGGGCAGGGCTCCCCAAACTAAGGCCTGAGGGCCACATATGGCCTTCTAAGGTCATTTACCTGGCCCTCGCTCAGGGTCAACCTAAGTCTGAAATGACTTCAAAGCACACAACAACAACAACAACAACAACCCTATCTCATCAGCCAAAAGCAGGCCCACAATTCCAATTGAAATGCTAATAAGTTTATATTTGTTAAAATTGTTCATTTTAATTATTGTATTGTTTTTAAGTGTTCTTTTTACTACAAATAAAATATGTGCACTGTGCATAGGAATTTATTCATGCCTCTTTCCAATTATAATCTGGCCCTCCAACAGTTTGAGGGACTGTGACTTGGCCCTCTGTTTAAAAAGTTTGAGGACCCTGGTTTAGGGTTAGGGTTACAGTTAGGCTAAGGGTTGGAGGTAACGGTTAGGGTAAGGTTTAGGGTTTGGATTGGGGTTTCACCATTAAAAAGCTCTTATATTCCTTCTATGTATTATCTGTCTCCGGCCTGGCTTACATTAGCTAAGTCTCTCTTGCGCAAACAGCGCTCCCGAAGGAATGTGCGTAACGCTCGGAGCTTCCGGACCCAGCTATCATACTATTACGCACCTTTCTTCGGAGGAAGCCCCTTCCTCGCCTCTTCCTGGGAGACGCCAGGAGGGAAAGAGGGGGGCGGGGGAGAAGCGCGGAGGCTTCGCGAGCGGCGGCGCAGCCAATGGGGAGGCGCGGGAGGAAGGGAAGGAAGGAAGGCGCAGCAGAGCAGGTGGGCGCCCGCGGCGGCGCAAAGGCAACGCCGGCTGCACAGGCTGCGCCTCCCTCCTTCCCTCCCTCCCTCTCTCTCGCGCCGCCTGGCTTTGGATACAGAGGGACGACGCCGCTGGTCACGCTGAACCACCCCGGACCCGCTAGCCCGCCATGGCGCGCGCGAGGTGAGCCCTGAGGGAGAAAAGGGAGGGGGGAGAGGAGGGAGAGGGGCGGGGCTCAGAGCCGGGAAAGAGCGAGCGGGGGGGGGGGGGCGGGTGCGAGCGTGTGGAGAAAAAAGTTGGCAGGAGGAGGAGGGAGGCTGCGCTTTGGTGGGATGCTCAGGGGGGAAGGAAAAGAGAAGGAGGAAGAGGAGAAGGAAAGCAATGAGGGGAGAGGGAGGGGGAGGAGAAGAGGAGCAAGGAAGGGGGAGAGGAGGGTCCCTGGGCTCGCCCCTGGGTTCCCTCCTGCCAGCCCTCAGAAACCTGAGCAGGGTCTCCCCGCCTCATTTCCTCCTTCGAAAAGAGGACCCAGTGGTGCCTTAGAAAGCCCCAGGGAGGAAGGAAAAGAGGAGGCGGAAGAGGAGAAGGAAAGCAATGAAGAGAGGAGGAGAAGGCGGGGAGGAGGGTCCCTGGGCTCGCCCTGGGTTCCCTCCCTCCCTCCTGCCTGCCCTCAGAAACCTGAGCAGGGKCTTCCCGCCTCATTTCCTCCTTCGAAAAGAGGACCCAGGAGAGAGCCCTGGGCGAGGAGGYGGCTCTTCTTCTCCTCCTCCTCGCAGGCCCCCTCCGCCTCCCTGCCCCTCCCTKCCGCGAAGGGGGACGACGAGGGGGCGTGACGAGCCTTCCTCTCCACCCCTCTCTTCTCTCCCCTCCCCAAGAAACCCCTTTTTGCAGCCGGCTTCCTTTGGTGGGCGCAACCCCCGGCGTAGGACGGGGCTCAGGCGGGAAGAGGGCCAGGGGTGGAAAGACTGGGGACTTTGGAGGATTAGGAGGGCCTGGAGAGGAGGCTCGAGGGTCGCTTTGCACGTGGGAATCCGGCCCGAGGAAGAGGAGATGGACAGCGACACTGTTTGTGAAGCTTTCTCTTTGAGGCTGATCTGGCCTTGTTATGCACCCGCATTTCCCCTTTGACTGAGGTCCTCGTTCTGTATCAGAGGAAGGGAAGGGGGAGCGAGGCAGGTTGCCGGCTTGAGCTTCTTTTTCTCTCCCAAGCCGGGGGTCTTCTTTATGGGTTTTTAAGATGTAAGTCACAGAGGCCGCCATCTTGAATGGTTTCAGGCAACAGAAGATGGAAATCCTCGCTCTTGCCCTCTTTCTGTGCCCCCCTCCGGGATGGATTTCCTTGGCTTCCCCCGCTGTTGTTTCTGTACGGTTGGTGCTATAATGTTGTGTTGTAATAATAACTCCTTATGAAATGGGATATATGAATGGCAGGAAAAGGAAGGAAGGGAAAAAAATAAAGAAGCCGAAACGTGTGCTCTTGGCCCCTTCCTCACATCTGAATAAAATCCCACATTATCTGATTTGAACAGGAATATATGGCAGTTTGGAACTCAGCTATCCCAGTTCAAAACGGATATTGTGGGATCTTCTGCCTTGATATTCTGGGATATAGGGCTGTGTGGAAGGGCTCTCAGCTATCCCAGTTCAAAGCAGACATTGTGGGATTTTCTGCCTTGATATTCTGAGTTATAGGGCTGCGTGGAAGGGCCCCTTCCTGCCTGCTTTTTAACACGGGTTTTGTGAGAATAAATAAAAACCATTGCTGCTGGGAATAGGACTGGAGGGGAGTTGGGTGTGATTTCCTACCTCCTTTCTTTTACCCCACGTTTCTTGCTAAACAGGGACTGTGTTTGAGGTAGGTAAAGATTGACCAATTTGGTGTATGAAATCTATCCTGCAAAATGTGATAACACATGATGCAAGCAGGCATTTCTCTCAGGTGCCTGGAAGAGTATATTTTTAAATTATCTGGACGTAAAAGCCATATGCAGCCCTGTATAAATGGTTGTGAGTCTTACACTTAAATGTTGCAAAGCAAACAATACGGTCTCCTCTTAACTTAATTAAAGACTGTCCTTGGGAAATCCAGCAATAGCAAGAAAATATCACCATCTCTCTATACACAAAAGCATGTGCTCAGTCAAAAGGACAAATGGAATCAAGCAGAGGCCGATATGTGAGGGACTCTTTGCTGCTGAAAGGCAGGTGGCTTAATATGCACATTCTGGCCTTGAGGTAATTTTAGTATATAAGATAAAAAAAGGTACATTATCTATCCCAAATCAGCCAAAATGAGCTGTTACAAAATTAGAAACATTTTAGTATTGTGCAGCGGTTTCAAATACTTTTCAGTCCTGCTTAATTGCGGAAGTACTCAACATGCATTCATTTGCATCACGCAACCTCATTGGCTGTTGGGAATTAGCATCTTATGAATGTGATATGGTAATACCACACAGAAAACAGGTGGAATGGGTCTGTATTTGTGACAACATCTTAAATATAACAATTGTCAGGGATTTTTTTTAAGTGTTTTATGGTGCTACTGCATACCTATCGGAAACTGAGCACAGAATACACTGAGAAGTGTTTTGAGTGTTGCCTTCAAGAACATTCAAACAAAAACACACCTGATCTTACAATCACTATATAAAATGTATAGCTGTCCCAATGAAAGAAATGACTGACTAGAAAAGGGATTTTTGATGTTACTTAGTGTTAGCTCCATACTTGGATCAATTTGCAGGCTTATTTAAATGTAAATACAGTATTTGGGAGAAAATTAATGTCTTGACATGCTTGTGAAACATGCCAAAAATCCCAAAACATGCCAGAAATCCTTAAAAGGTGGTGGGTTTCAATGTGAAGCATAGAAAAGAAGAATGCTGTCTTTTGTTATCATCCAAACCATCATTGCTATGGAGTCAGGCAAAAGACAACGCTGCCTTTCAAAGCAATATCCTCAGACCACTGCTCTCAAATAGAAAAACTGGTAGTAAGAGCGTGTTTTGTTTCCTTTGGATTTTTGGTGTGTCATTGTCTGGTTATAGTATTACTGAAAGGCGGCTTCATATGAGATAATGATTTTAAAGCTCTAAGTCACACATCCACATTAACTGTGGTTATTACAGCCACCCCGAAATATATAAGATTAGATTTCTGGTTTGCTTTATTAAACTCCCAAGACTAGTTACAGTTTGTAGAAATATAGCAGCGTATGTTTTTACATGAAAGCCCCTCCCTCCTCTGACATGACGCTGGGTGATGTCGCTGGCCAAAGTGCTGGAGCAAGACAGCCATCTTGATTGTTATTCAAGTCAACTGAAAAACACTCTCAAGTTCTGAAATGACAGAACTACTGGAGTAAGTCACTCTATCTTTCATTTTGTTTTCATCCTTCACAAATTACATGATGTCTACTTTTTCATATTTGTTTTGCATTTGCATCATCCCTTGCCATTGGAGACTGATTGCTGTGTTAGGCTCTTATCTATCTATCTATCTATCTATCTATCTATCTATCTATCTATGACCAATGTGTAAGAATGGTCAGTTCTTGGTTGTTTTGAACCATCAAGCTAAATTTGTGTAACAATTATTTTTATATATGAATAATGTTTACATACTGATAGCAAGTTTTTAATGCAACAAGAGAATAAGGAATAGTGAACTGACAAATGGAATGGCTTTGGATTATGATTTTGGATGGCATGATTTTAATTACTGGTTTTAAATTGTATTGTTTTAATGTTTTAGTTTTAATGTAACTTTTTATTGTATGTTTATTTTTGGCATCAAATTGCTGCCTAATTTGTAAGGTCGCTCTGAGTCCCCTTCAGGGTTGAGAAGGGCAGGCTATAAATGATGTAAATACATACATACATAAATTTGAAAGGCCTCAATGAAAGCCAAAAGGAAAATGTGTTGGGTGAGGTCTTTGTGAAAGTTTCAACACAGTGATGTATGCAAAGTAATTATGATGACACAGCACTGCACTTTCGTCCCATGCCCTTGCTCGTTAGCTACAATTTGCACTATTAATTCCCTTGTTATTGTGTACAGTTGTCCAGGTTTCATGACAGTTCTCACCATAGGTTACTGGATGCTGTTTTTGAGTTTGAATTATTGTTTTGTATGCTTTTGGTTTTATTCTGTATTGTATTGTGTGTTTATTTTATGCTATGTTTTAGGCACATTGTGCCATTATGTAAGCGGCCTGATTCCCTTCAGGGAGATGGAGACGGGGTACAAAAATAAAGTTGTTATCAATATTATTACTGCTTAATGATTATGGAGCAAAATCATTCTGAATGTAAATTGATTGAGGGGATTGGTGTACTTTGGGGGTGGGAAGGATTTGGAAAGAACTGTAAAGCAAAGTAATCGCATCTTCTCATTTTTCCTGAAAACAACTCTAGGGAAACTTACATTCATTCAGTTTTACTTCTCTTTTGGGTTTATAAAACACAGATATTTAACGTAGGTATTCTTGACGACTCATTTCTAAAAATAGAATGAATTTATATTCAGGAACTTCAAATTAAAGGCCAAAGGTGACAAACCAAGAGAAAGGTCACGCAGCTCATTTTCAAGCAATTGGTTTTTGCTTTGCCTCATGTCTGAACAAAAGCTTAACTATGCAGCAAAGAGAGCTGTAATGTCACCCTTAGCTGAGAAGTACAGGTTATCTTACAGTTCTCCAAACAATATATATTTCCACCGAAGAGTAATGAATTTGCGCAAGTTAATTTTCAACAAGCATTTTTATATACAGGGTGTGGGTTGCATTATTTTACTTTGATAATGCAGTTCCAAGTGTAACTTTTTGTATGTTCATACTGATGTAGTTTTTATTAAGATCTGTATTGCATACACTGTTGCAATTTCTCCAGGTTGTTTAGAACAAATAGATCCATTAAAAAAACAACTTGAATGTGTGTGTGTGTGTGTGTAAAATTGAAAGTGTGTGTTTTGTAGTAATGCAGTGCATCAACTCTGAAATTAGGTCCAGTTTTCAAAAGCTTAAGTTTTAATACATCTGTTAGTTTTTTGAATGCTACAAACCAATACTGCTGTATTTTTCATTCAATTTTTCCCTCCAATCAAACAAAAGGTTGGGGTTATTACTCAATTTTATATGTTTTCTATTGAGCCTTGAGTTACTTTCTAATATCAGAAATGTAGCTCACCTTTAATTTTTAAAATAATTTAAAAATATGTCCATAAAATTATATGATAATGTCTTTGTAAAACAAGCAGTAAACTGGAAAATGCCAATATGTGAAGTATCCAGTAGAATTTTTAGAGAAACAATATGGTAAAATGTGTGTGTTCTTGACCTTTTAAAACATTTTGCTCAGATTTATGCAAAGAATTAATTAACTTAAATTCTGTGAATATAAAGTGGTGCCTGGTTTTCACTTTTGATTTATTTACTGTGAAAATGTTTACTGTTCAATTGAAACAACTGAACTCTGTATTTATATAATACTTTATATTTTAAATAAAATTTTGGCCACTCTAACAAAAATGGTCTATGTATCTATCATTCTGTAGATGTTTGTGTTAGCACCCATTTAGTAAAACATAAATAATAGGAATAATAATAATAATAATAATAATAATAATAATTGTACACTGCCCTATCTCCTCGGAGAGATCTCCGCTGTTTCAGTTGCTAGAAAGAAACCATGCAGACAATTACATCAAGATAAAAACATTCGACAATATATCACAATCTAATTAAACTTAACAAACAAAATAAACTACAACTGAAAACATCAGCTAATACAAAAAAATTACTAAAACACACTAAAGATAAAAATATTAAAAACCCATTTCAGTGAAACATTAATTCCAATAAAAATTGTGAGGTGCTACTAAGGCTTAAATATTAACACAATTCTATTTGGCCCTACTGTTGAATTTCATAATCTTAAAATATTGTTATCGATTTGTAGTAAGTTACATAACAAATATGCAGTTAGTTAGATTAAAACATAATATGTTCACCTTCTAATATTATATAAACATTTGAATATAATACTAATTGGAAGACAAACTAGGAAAGAGGTTAATCAAACTTCTTTAATGTTCTATAAAATTGGGCACATATCTATCCTTTATGTATTTATTCTGCCAAATTACACTAAATCGGATGCCCTCATTGTTCAGGATTCTAACATTGCATTGAATTCTTCAAGGAAGCAAACTGAAAGAACATTTACAATATATTTGTTTTAAACTGTTCAGAATTGCTGCACTAATTGGACTCATAACATGATAATCTCAAAGATCTTTCAATATTTTCATGCATGGCTCACAAGAGAAGGAATGGCAAAAGGTTATATGTATGGAACTTAATTGAGGTTAAATGTGAATATCCATTGATATTAAAATAATCTAAATTATTCCTCTTATACATAATGTTTAAATTGGTACACATGTAGTGAAATAAAATTAAAATGTTTGGATGCTTGAATTTTAGGAAGCGCAAATGAAAGATCAAACTTATTGCAGTGAATAAAGAATACCATTCTAATCTTGGTAAAATCCAAACTTGATTAAATCAATTTAAAGCCTACTTAGGAAAGTGTAGAACATGGAGAACATTTTAATTCACACCCCCCCCCCCAATAAATGTGGTCAAGATTTTCAGGTTGACATAAATCGACAGGAAAAGAAAAGTTGTTCTATTAAGAGAGAAATTAATGATTAATTTATATTTGAGGCTGGATCTAGTCTGTCGAGGCTAGAAAGGCCGCAAATGGGATGAGAAATAGCATACAGTGGAATGGAAATATTGTTTCTGGAAATGAGAGCACTCTTTCTGCTTTTCATATTTCTATTAAGAGTGGTATAGATATGATACAAATCTTTTCCATTAGTTAAGAAATTGTATTGTACATGAAACACTATGAAAGCTAGTAATAATAATGGATTAGTGCTGTTATCTAGCCTAAATCATGAATTTAATTTCATTTGGCTCCATGTATCTTATTTTTAAAATATGCTAACAATAAGCAGCAATGATTCAACTTAGTTCCAGTGTAAGAAAGATGCAGTGTGGAACTGTAATCTAATTACACACGCCGGGAATATGCCAAGGATATATATGACAGGCATTCTAATTGGAGCAAGTAAAGATTAAGTGTAAAATTAATGGGATGTATAAATCCTATTAATTTCAATTAGATTGTGAAAAATACGCATAACCCTCCCTACTGTTGAAAGCAGCGGAGATTGAGTTTGGCGGGACCATACACAAAATTCATCTATCATTTTCTTTTTGGTAATCCTTCAGTGGAGTTGTATTTTTAATATCATCTTAAAAAGGATAGGAAACCAATAGTATTGGTTCTCATCAAAGATACCTTCAAAGATGCTTTCACTTCAATTATCTTACTACCTTGATGGCAATTGGCTTCGTTATATGGATTTCTTGCTAAATTATTAAAGCATATCCATAAAACTGGATTAAAAGATGATTATCACAAGGTGTGGTTGTTGTTTTTTTTCATTTTCCTGGACTTTTGAAAATAAATGTTGCAGATTTTTAAATAATTTTGTATTTATGTGACATTCTTGGCATGATATTGTTAAACTCCCTACAATGAAGTTATTATTTGAAATTTTTTTCTACATAGTTTTAGTAAGCAGCATGTGCACAAATATAACATTTCAGTTAAATTCCTCTTAACAGATACCAAATACTGAACATATTTTAATCTACAATTTTAGTTTAAATTTTAAAATGAAAATATATTAATTCACATGATAAAGCTTTGAAATAACTTTTAAAATAAATGAACTAATTTATAAGATTAGGGAAAAATTACTACTAAGAGAGAAAACTCAAAACTTTTGTGAAATAAAGTTTTGAAATGTTGGTTGGAAATTTCCTATTTCTGTTTTGCATTTCAGAAGAACTTTAGATTGCGCATTCAGCATTTTACAGTTTTGCTACTGCTTTGTTTCAACTATATGAGTTTTTATAGTTAAATTATAGAGCCTTTTTCTTCGTTGTGAATTTTATTGAAGTTTGAATAGTAATCATCTTTCAAAGCTGATGCATAATACTACATGGATCAAACTGTCTTACATGTTGAATGTCATTTGGAGATTAGACCTATTGAACAGACCTAGCATTTGATGCTGGAACAAACGCATTGACATCTTTTGTTTCAGAATGCTATCTTGCTATACCAGCCTTTATAAATGTAAAATAACAAAGTGCTTAAATGTACAACATGTTGAGAATATGCTGGAATGTCAAACTCTGTGAAGAAATATATATTATTAGAGAGAAAGTCAAAATCAAAACTGGATACCTTGCTGACGTGACAAACTCCTGAATGTACAGAGCGCTGTTTAGTATCATCTGATAAATTTGCTTATATACATTCTGTGTATTTGTGCCCTATTAAGTGAAATATCTCGGTTTACTGGAAAAGATACACAGTCAGAATATACTGGTTAGTACTATCCTGACCTACATCACACTCAAGACTTCTATTTCACTATTCTTTCAAGCCTGTCAGGCCCTTTCCACACATCTGAATAAAATCCCACCCTTTCTGCTTTGAACTGGAATACATGGCAGTATGAATTCAGATAACCCAGTTCAAATAGTGTGGGATTTTCTGCCTTGATATTCTGGGTTATATGGCTGTGTGGAAGGGCCCTTAGCCCTTCCAAACAAAAAGTGTAGAGAATTTATTGTTATGAAATTGCCATAGAACCAACCCACTGTATTGCTAAACTTGCTTTTTGAAGTCCATTGAATCTGCAATTGACAGTTCATCTTTTTCCTCCTGTCTGTACCCAACCATATAGATTTCCCAGCATTAGAGATCACTGATCTTGACAATATTGTGCAATATGTTAGGGGTGCAAAAGATATTTATGCAGCAAGGTGGAAACAATATTGAGATCAAATTTGGTCAAATCAGTATCCAAGAAATTACATTTATCCTCTTAATATAATAATAATAATAATAATAATAATAATAATAATAATAATAATAATAATAATAATAATAATGGGTTGTTGTAGGTTTTTTTCAGGCTATATGGCCATGTTCTAGAGGCATGGCCATATAGCCCGAAAAAACCTACAACAAGCCAGTGATTCCGGTCATGAAAGCCTTAGACAATACAATAATAATAATAACTTTATTTTTATAGCCTGCCACCATCTCCCCGAGGGGACTCGGGGTGGCTTACAAGGGGACAAGCCCAGTTATAAATAAAAGAAACATATTAAAATCAATCCAAAAAAAACATAACACAATCACAAAACATCATCATAAAACAGTAAGGCTGAGCTAAAAGTCAAAGCTGGGTTCAGGCTCAATAAGAGCAATGATTCCGAGTGGAGCCAGTGGAAAGTGTGGAATTCAAATGATCAGGGACTAAGGAATACCCATTAAAAAGTGTTGAAGTAACAGATGGGAGGGCCAGAAATAAAGTGCCGGGCTTAGAATAGGAACAAGATAGTTCTTGGGTGAAACTGCCTAATCAAAGGCTTGGATACATTGCAAAGGTTTGATGGTGGTACTAAAGAAATCATGTGAGTGTTTTGATGCTTTGGCTCCCTTGGAGTTATGTCAGCATAGACTTTAACCTTCAAAATGAAACAGAGCTGTTTCATGGGAAGTAGAAACTTGTTTTGAATTATTTAGAGTGCAGAACCTGAGTACTATATATTTGCCTTAATCTTATGCCGTGAAGATTAATTGGACTTCTTGATTGTTAGAATAATAAACAGTCTTGAAGACAAACATATCCCAAAAGGAATGCACATCGAAGAACTCTGAGGAATGTGCCCTACAACATTAATCTTTTTCTCTTGTGCATGTAGAAAGGGAGGGGGAACTAATTGCTTATGAACCTCTATTATATACTTGAAGTGTCTTCCATTAGAAGATGGATGTGACCTAATTTTTGAAAAAGAAAATGCTGTTTCATTGGTACAATGTGTAATTTCAACATGTTCAAGTCTTGAGTTAAATTTCTACACGTTTTTTCTAAATTTATACAAATGTTTTTTTCTGTATAGTACAATTATTTAATTCTGGATATATTTGCATCTTATGTTATTAATAGATAATAAATGCAATATATAAAAAAGATTGAATATTGAATGTTAATATAAGAATTCATGTAGTTAATGGTCAGATCCATTCTACAACTCTTTAAAGTTGTTTTGTGTGCCTTGAAATCATTTCCAACTTATGACAATCTTATGGTTTTCTTGGCAAGATTAGTTCAGAAGTGGGTTTGCCTTTGCCTTCCTCTACATCTGTGGGGGTATGATTTACCCAAAAGTACCCAGTGGGTTGTCATGACCAAAAAGATTTGAACTCTGGTCTCCAGAGTCAGAGTCCAACACTCAAACCACTACACCATACTGGCTTTATGTGCTTAAGGTGTGTGTTTGTATGCATGTGCCTTCACGTTTTGACTTGCGACTTCATGAATTTTGTAGAGTTTTGATGTTATGCACTTTTCTACACATTTTAGTTTTCTAGGTTACATGTTTTAGTGTCATTATGTTTTATTGGTGTCATTATGTTTTATTTAAGTATTTGTATTTTTATTATTTTAATTTGATTATTATTTATTTATTTACAATATTTCTATCCCACCTTTCTTGAATTTGAAGGTGACTCAAGGTGGCTAATTCTGATTCTTTTTCTTTGGCTATAAGTTTATTAATGTTATTTTGTTCTATTTTGATGTTGTGTTAATTTGTATATGGCACTGAATGCTAGCCTTTTTTGGATGGAAACCTCCCTGAGTCCCCTTGGGGAGGGAGGGCAGACTATAACTAAAGTATATATTATTTATTATTTTCTTTACCTACCTACATCAATCACGTTTGAGTTAATTTTAATGGTTAACACATTTTTCAGTGTAACTAGTGAAAGCATCAACTAAGTTTAATCCAATATACAATATAATGGTATAGTACAATATAGTGATATATAATACTAACATATAATACTAATATAATATATTGTGTGTGTGTGTGTGTGTGTGTGTGTGTGTGTGTGTGTGTGTGTATCTTGTAAGCCATTCTGAGTCCCCTTTGGGATGAGAAGGGCGGCATATAAATGCCATAAATAAATAGATAAATAAATAAATAAATATTATTTTGAAGCTATAGAGTGACTATCAGCACTGAAGGAGCTGATGGTGGATGAAAGGTTTTTTTAAACGATGTAATAGGGCTTGGACTATTTAAAATTAGCAGCTCCAAGGGGACAAATGAATTATTATTATTATTATTATTTATTTATTTATTTGTAATCTTCCCGATCTCAGGGTGGTTTCCCATGAGTAACAAAAATGGAAAACATTCAGTGCCAAAAACAGACAAATGACAAGTCAAATCAAAAGCAATGGATAAAACAATCTCAATATAAACTTATAAAACTAACCAAAAATAGCAGAGGATTAAAATAAACATAATATAACATATCACACACATTTACCACATGATAAAGCATTAAAAGCATAAGATGGTTTACAGCATCCAACTGGCTGTGGTAAGTGTCAAATATCTAGGCAAGTATATATATATAGAGAGAGATGTATAGCAGTATTCACTGTTCTGCTCCGTTCAAGAGATGTGGTTGTGGCTCCTTGACATGTACCTTAAATTTAGTTCTGCTACATTGATAACATGAGTTTCCCTCAAGAAGGAGGCAAACAGCCAAATAATCTACGTAATTCTTTTTAGTCTGAAGTAAGATACACCTAACACATTCATCTTATCCAAGTAACATTGTTTCAGGGTCTATGGCTTGTAGGGCTTCACTTGTAATAAAAGCAGCAACAACAATGTGTCACATGCCTGGTGAGTATGTTAACTGCTGTGCTTTGTCTCCAGTTGGCCAGAAAGAATTCCAGCCTATGTTTGTCTTGATTGTGGTTTAATTGAATTTTAAATTGCACTGCATGCTGTGTGAATGATAATTCCAGCAACCAGAAGGCTTTGAGCTGCTTCTGCAGTTATTAAGTGAATAATGCATTGTGCTATCCAGTTACCACTAGGCAGCATGCTTGTGGAGGAGGCCAATTAAAAGATAAATAGCTTTCATAAAAAATGTGAACGTCTTCTTCCCGTAACTGCATTAGACTGATTAGGACACCACCTGGTTGTTTTGTTGTGGTTGTGATGAGCTAGGTAAGTTTCAACCTGTTAAAAGTTTACAGGTCACTTCATAGAGTCAAGACTTGCCATTTTATGGCCTTCTAATGAGTCATTAAACTGGAGACGAGATAATTAAATACAGTTCTCTGCTGGAATTAACATGGTAGTGACTGCAGCTCTCTGATTTCTAGGTGCTTCGGAAGACTATGAAATCCTTCTGGAAAGTCTCTTCAAGTCCAGGTTAGTACTTGTGGACCCCCTCTGATCACTTTTGTTGTCTTTTATGCAACTGGAATTGTTTGAAGTATTAGGATTGTTTAGAAAATAGTTTGAATATGGTTTTAAGGAGGAATGCAAGCATGAAAATACACAAGGATTTCCCAAGGCTTTGTTGAAGCTTCCTTGAAACGGAGGCAACTGAATCCAAAGCAGTTTTCCATGTAAGTAAAATCTACTTGAATGTCAGCATAGTATTATTCTAATTTTTAATGGATTGGATCTGGGCTTTGTTTTTACCATTGGCAACCTTATTTGTGTGTGGAGTTCTGATGATTCTTCTCTGTTCCTGGAGAGATTTGCACTTCTGAAGAGTCTTCACAGGACAAAGTGCTGACAGACACACATCCCAGAGGATGTAGAAAGTAGCCCTCTACAGCTGACTTTCCCCATGTAAACCTCAATTCCTTCAAATGTTCAGTCTTATGACACCTTCAGTGGTTTGAAAAGTAGGGGAAATAAACTTTAAAATGGAAGTACTAATAAAATGTACTGGGAAAAGAAAACATGTCTTCCTCTGTGGAAGAGTGACACGATGATGGCGGTATTGTTATAACTTTGGCACAGTTTAAAACTTGTTTGGATAGTTGTGTTTTGCTTGGTTGGCTCTCTCAGGATCATACATTTGCTCAGTCATTGGGTTGTAGTGAGTTTTCCAAGCTATATGGCCATGTCCCAGAAGCATTATCTCCTGATGTTTTCCCCACATCTATGGCAGGCATCCTCTTAAATCAGGACAGTAAACAAAGAATAACACTAAAAAAACCGGGAATTCCAGACAGAAAATAATCAGGGCCAGCTAACACCTCCCAACAAAGGATTCCCCTGGACAGGAAGCAATCAGGCTTTGAAACTGCAAGGGCATGCAATAAATAAAGGTGGCCAATTGCAACATCTGCACTTGCCTCAAGCAGAGAAGAGTTCTTTCTCCCACCCTGGACATTCCACAGATATATAAACCTCACTTGCCTAGTTTCCAACAAACCTCACAACCTCTGAGGATGCCTGCCATAGATGTGAGTGAAATTTCAGGAGAGAATGCTTCTGGAATATGGCCATACAGCCCAGAAAACTCACAGCAATCTGGTGATTCCAGCCATGAAAGCCTTCGAGAACACATTGCTCAGCCATTGTTTCGTAGGCTGCACTGCTAGGTCAGTGTGCCATAGTAGGCTACACTGCTAGGTCAGTGTGCTATTGATTTTTAAGTTTTGTTTATTTTTCTATATTATCATTATAATTATTATTTGATGTTGTGACACATCCTTCTTCCAGGAATTCATACCAAGGCAACCCATTCACCCCGACTTTGTCTGCCATGTACTTTTAAGCCTATTTAAGTGCCATGATGTAAGAAAGATACATGGCAGATCTTGAGGTGGCAGTGCTTTCTTTATGGGGGCAGTTTTCTGTTGGCTCGCCTGTGCTCCAGCCTCTTCCAGTGCTGCTGCAATTGAATTCCTTCCCTTTCAGGGGGGGGGTGCTTTGACGCATGCGCTCTGGCGATTGACAAGGTGCATCTAACCTTACAAAGCAGGGAAATCTTCTCCCTTGGGGAGATAGAGGAGGCATTTTCCATTGGAGCCGCTCATCAGCTCCCAAGTTAAGCTTTGTATTTTGAGAGGCTTGACCTAAGGCGGCCCCGAAAGCTGGAGGCGGGGTGCTTTTCTCCTTCCCTTTGTGTTTGTACAACTTTATAAGGATTGGATTGTGAAGCTGACCCTTTTTGCCACAGATTGTGGGGAAAGCCTCTCGAGTCCTTGCTTTGCGTTTCAAGTCGCCAGAAGTCGCGCCTTCCAGGAAAAGCGGTCCTTTCCACCATCTGTTTAAAAGCCCCCCCCCCCAGGATTCCGCGGTATCCGAGCGTCCTAGTGCCCTACAATTCCTTTCTCGCAAATGAAACCGGTCCTTTGCATCATTGATGGAGAAGTGTGCGATTTCTAGCAGAAAGTGTCCTGTGGGAGAAAAATGCGTGTGAAGTGACGCATGCTCCCTAAAGGTGTCTTTGGGGCTCCGGAAACCTAATTCTCGATTAACTCAATCCATTTGTCTGTTTCCTGAAGCGTGCACTACCCCCAAACCAACTTTGCCCCATTGTTTCCCTTTCTTTGCTGCCTAATTATGCTGTGCCTTGTGTCCTGTGAACCGCTGTGAGTCGCCTCCGGGCTGAGAACAGCGGTATAGAAGTAAAGTAAATAATAATAATTATTATTATTCACCCCAGCAGGGTGAGAGCCCCGTCTAAAGGCGCATCTACACTGTAGACTGAATGCAGTTTGGCACCACATTAACTGCGTGGCTCAAGGCTATGGAATCCTTGGATTTGTAGTTTGCCTAAAGACTACAACTCCCACGATGCCATACTATTGAGCCCTGGGAGTTCAGGTTTTTTAAAATCATGTCAGAAGCGAATTGAGAAATTACAAGTCGCTCTTGGTGTGAGAGAATTGACCCCCTGCAGGGGCATTGCTCATGGGACGCTCAGGTGTGTTACTAACCTGTGGGAGTTGTGAGTTTTCGGCGCTGAATGGCCATGTTCCAGAGCATTCTCTCCTGACTTTTCGCCTGCATCTGTGGCAGCCATCCTCTACAGACCTCACAACCTCTGAGGATGCCAGCCACAGATGCAGACGAAACATCAGGAGAGAATGCTTCTGGAACATGGCCATACAGCCTAGAAAACTCACAACACCCAGTGATTAAGGCCGTCAAAGCCTTTCACAATCTTGTGAGAAGCTTCTGTTCCCATATGGGAAGCTGGAGCTGACAGACGGGAGCTCACCCCATCTCACGGATTCCAACCTCCGACCTTCAGGTCAACAAGGGTTTAACCCATTGTGCTACCACGGCAGTTCAGGTGCTATCAAACTGCATTAATTCCTCGGTGTAGATGCACCCCGGCCGTGCCTTTACCTGTCTTCATTTACCTATCAACAAGCACTGCCCCTATTTATCTATCTATGAAGGACCCGCCTACTTTTTACTCTACCTTATTAATTAATCCATACTTCCCTCTTCCCTTATTAAATGCAGAACACGAATCCATCCTTCCAGGCAGCGCTGCCGTCTTCTTCTAGTGTTGGGATATAGGACAAGAATGGATATCTCAAGAATGAGTATCTCATTCAAGAATGATATCTCATTCTTGGGGGTGTGTTTTGTGTCCTGCAAAGAGAATGTCTCCTTCTTGTGGGGTGTGAATTCTGCCCTGCAAAGAGAAACATGCCGGTTTTCCCCTGGACGACAAAGAGAACGGACTCAGGTTCGACGCAGCAGCAGCATAGGATGCATCTCCACTGTTGAATTAATGCAGTTTGATACCACTTGAACTGCTGTCTCTCGAAACACGCAACTTGCCTTTGCCATGGTCTGGAAAAGGAAGGCCATCTGGGAAATGTCAAGGACGGGTTGGGACCTTTCCGAAACGACGCCCTCTTCCTCCACGCACTGCCTTGAGGGCGCATCTCCACTGGGAGATTAATGCAGCTCGACACCGCTCTGTTAGAACTCAACGCCACGGAGCGGCGAGAACTGTAGCTTGACCAATGACTACGTCACACTAGAGGAAAAAAATCCACTTATTTTAATACTGGTGGCCAGATTTTGTCCATTTTCATGGTTTTCTCCTTTCTGTTGAAATTGTCCACATGCTTGTGGATTTTAAAAAAAATCAGGACAGTAAATAAAAAAACAACACTCTCAAAACAGGGGAATTCCAGACAGGACCAATCAGGACCAGCTAACACCTCCCAACAAAGGTTCCCCCAGGCGGTAAGCAGCTAGGCTTTGAAGCTGCAAGGCTATTGGATACTAATCAAAGTGATTAATTGCAACAGTCACACTTGCCTCCAACAAACAAGAGGTGTTTTTTTACCATCCTGGACCTTCCACAGATATATAAACCTCACTTTCTTAGTTTCCAACAGACCTCACAACCTCTGAGGATGCCTGCCTCATTACTGCATCACACTAGGGAATGAATCCACTTTAAATCCGGTTTCTGCCTCCTGCAGAATTCTGGGGTTTGTAGTTTAGTCATGCAGTTGGCTCCTCCCTAAACTACAAACCCCAGAATTCTGCAGGAGGCAGAAACCGGGTTTAAAGTGGATTTTTTCTCTCTAGTGTGATGAGGGTTCAACAACAAGTCTCTAGCCTCCTCTCTCTTCCAAAGGAGTGTTGGTGCCTCCCCAAACGACAACGCCCACAACACTGAGTCTCAGCGGGTTTGTGCGTTTGGGGAATAGGAAGGAAGCGCCTCACGTGGACCGTTTCTTGGTATGCCTGAAGACCAGCAGATTAGTCCAGGGCAAACTATATTCTAGCCGATTTCAATCTAAAGGAGGGCGACAAAAATGATCAAGGGTCTGGAGAACAAGCCCAGCGAGGAGCGGCTTAAAGTTCTGGGCATATTTCGCCTGCAGAAGAGAAGACTGAGAGGAGACATGAGAGCGATGTATAAATATGTGAGGGGAAGTCATAGGGAGGAGGGAGCAAGCTTGTTTTCTGCTGCCCTGGAGACTAGGACTGGGAGCAATGGCTTCAAATTACAGGAAAGGAGATTCCACCTGAACATTAGGAAGAACTTCCTGCTCAGCAGTGAAACTCTCTACCCCGAAGTATGGTGGAGTCTCCTTCTATGGAGGCTTTTAAACAGAGGCTGGATGGCCATCTGTCGGGGATGCTTTGAGCACGATTGTCCTGCTTCTTGGCAGGGGGTTGGACTGGATGGCCCACGAGGTCTCTTCTAACTCTAAGCCACTGGGGGGGGGGGGGGGGGGGAGGAAAGGGCCTGAGGCTGTTAGGAATGGCGGGAGTTGAAGTCTAAAACACATGGAAGGCCCAAGTTTGCCCAGGCCTCTTCCAAAGCCTAATCTCTCCCCCCAATGCATGGAAGTGAATGGGAGGCGCCCAGGAACACGTGGCCTTGTACAACTTTCGAAAGGCGTCGCCCTTTCCTTGTTCTA